CTTGGGAATTTTCTTGCCTCATATTTATTTGGGTACAACCAATAGATATATCAAGTCACACATGCGCGTGCGCGTACCTAAACACACACACAAACACATACATACACATATGCACACACTCATACAGAATACACGCCATTCACTAATATGCACACTCACGATCACACATAGACGAATACAAACGCACGTGCGCGCTCACAGTTACGCCCACACAGACACATACAGAGACATACACACTCGGAGATAAACACGCAGATATAAAAGTACACACACAGACATATAAACACATAAGCACACACACACACACAAAACGCGCGCGCTTATTTCCATCATAAAATATTTTTGAATTAAGCTTTTGAATAAAGGCTCTTTGTTTGAAAGTTAATGTGTCTTTTTATTTTTGTTACTGCTGTAGATGTTTTCTTTCACCTTTGAAGCTTTGAAGAAGAAACGACTGCAATTAGAAACTAATTAAAAAAAATCATAAAAATAACAAACATTAGAACGAAGAGAATGTGATTCGATAAAAGATAGAGACAAAAAATCTGTTCGACGAAAAGAAACCGGCAAGTGTCTGCTTCACATTCAATGCTTTTTAATTCAAAAACAAATGTTATCAACAGTAATTCTAGTCGCAGTTTTAATGTATATTTATAAATAACATTTTTAAGTTGATGAGGATTGATAACGACACGATTTCCTGTCAGATTACGTAATTAATATATCTTGGTAATTAAAATGTCTTCGCTATTAGGGCCATCAAACTTTTAGAATTCGCAAACAGAAACGCAAAATGTATTCAAATATTATAAAATAATTTTCTGTGGTTAAAGCAGGTCTTATAACATTTCAGTGTATTTGGGTGCACGCAATACACACACGCATACATACAGGGATGGGTATATATATATATATATATTCATTAAAGACATTTTTATGTTTAACGTTGTTTTTTTATAGATACAAGTATTTAAGTAAATGCTCTGTTTATGATAAACAGTATTAAATAACATTTACCGGCCTGAATGTCCGAGAAATTTTCATAGAAAATATTCGTTCTTTGACAGGATTCGAACCTGCATCCTATACGGAACCGTCATTTACGCTGACGTGCCTTACCGATCGGCCACAAAGAATCGATTCTTTGTGGCCGATTGGTAAGGCTCCAATCATTGAATTCCATTCGGATATGAAATTCACAATCAAATCCTCTTTGTTGCTCAACTGCTTTCTCGAGAGCCTGTACTTTATAATGCTCCATAAGTTTTCTATGGGGTTGAGGTCAGGAGATTGGGGCGGCCATGTCATAACACTCACCTGCTTCTTATCAAAGTATTCCTTCATCAATTTTGATTTGTAACAGGGAGCATTATCCTGCATAAAAATGAGCTTGATGGGATCTAAAATTCTCTTGTACTGCTCGCTCCTGAGGGTCTTTCAATAGGAAACCAGTTCTATAAAAAGAAAAACATCCCCAGAGCATTATACTGAACGGATGCTTGACAGTACTTACTGCTAAATTCAAAGAGCTTTCAAAGCTTCTTCTTCGGATTTTAGATTGTTTATCCTTTGAATTTAGCTCAACTTTTGTTTAATCGGAGAAGAGAACATTCTTCCAGTTTTCTACGGTGAAATCTTTGCAATAGTGAACCCATTCAAGTCTCTTGGCTTTGTTGGCTTTGATTATTAGAAGCTTAAACCTTCGTGTACAAGATTTGTAGCCTTGTTCTAACAGCCACCGACGGACTGTTGAAGAGGCAAAACTAACACCTTGCTCTTCGCTTAGACTGGCTGCAATTTCTTGGCTAGTTATTGTCCTATTCTTCGCAACTTCTCTCTTGATTACCCTGCCAGTTCTATCATCAATCTTTTTTCTTTCGTTCCCTTGTTTCATTCATTGGAGCAGGAGTGGCATCATTATGTGCCCTAAGCACTTGAGAGACAGTTGATTGCGAGGTTATAGCAATTTCTGCAATTTCTCTCGTAGACTTGCCCGCTTCTGAGAAGGAAATAATAGATGCTTTAAGTGGCTCTGAGTGGCTATTTCAAGCTGTTTTTATACTGTATGAGGCTTTCTGGAATTTAATTTAAGCTGTTCTAGAATTCTCTAGAATATTGTTCTGAGTGTATTGTAAAATAGTTTTCAATATTTTGACAAAAGCTCCTTAAATTTACCTGTTTAATCATTAGAATGCGATATCTGAGTTTTTTCCTGAATCTCATTCATATCCAAATTTATAATTATCAATAGAATACCTTAGGGTGAATAAAATTTTTTCCTAGGTGGTCAGGAAGGGGTCTTTATGTTAGTAAGATTAAAAATTATTTTAACCCCAAAAACAATAGACAAAAAATATTTTTAGTAAAAAAATCAGGTGAGTCACTTTTATCGAACGGCACTGTATATATATATATATGGTGGACTCTCTTGTCGCATTCGACGTGTGAGGGTTAAGCAGCCCAGTTCCTAGGAACCGACAGCCAGACACCAACACATATGATTTTATTATAGTGGTGAAGGCTTTGTGCAGAAACAACCACACTTATTGAAGGGCCGAATACAGAGACCTGGTGCACTACATGCCACAAGGTCCCCAAGTTTTGAGTTCAGAGTTTTCCTTCTCCTAGACCAGTTGCCATCCAAGGGTATAGAACCCAGTTTGGCTTGCTATTTACCCATAGCTAGAGGGAGAAGGGGATTAATACCTTTCTCAAGAGTATTAGCACGTAAGTGAAAGTAATGGATTCGACTAAAATTCGAACTCGGCTCTCCGAGGTACGGTAGAGTACTGGAGATGTGACCAGGCATTGTAATTATTTACACTATTTACATTGTTCGGACTGCTGTCCTCATCTTAAAAGGGAGATAACTGATACTGAGATATCCGCATATATATATATATATATATATATATATATATATATATATATATATATATCTTTCTGTATGATTCGTGTGTGGTTGTGAATTTTGAATGTTTTTATATTAAAGATGAAAATGGTGGAAAAGAAGAATCACTGTAGAAACAGCAGAAAAGATATATTCTGAGAGTACTGGTTGTAAATAGTTCATTATATTTACAAGGGTAATCAAAGAAGCTATAAGAAAGAAAGAAAGAAAGAAAGAAAGAAAGAAAGAAAGAAAGAAAGAAAAATGAGTAAGAACGAAAAGTACCGAGTCGTAGCGTTCTTCAATAGGCGACTGATTCTTAGGATATATTTTTAAAAATGACTCATTAACACGTCTTTCTATATTATTCGTGTATGGATTGTGAATTTTAAATGCTTTGAAGTGAAAAGTGAAATGTGAAGAAATGCAATGCATTTCAATCATTTAATTCTCTTTTATTTTCAAAAATGAAAGAAACGGTGTACAGATAGCGAAAACGGTATGTGCCGTTTCTGGTGATAGTTCCATAGCTGAGACTACTGTTCAACAGTAATTGTGTTTTTAACTCGGCATTAGCTGTGTTGACGTGTTAACAGCATAATGACAGGTGTGCTGTTCTATGGGGGGGGTTATCTGTAAAATATAATTCATGGAAATGATATGAACGCCATTTTATATAATTTTACACTATTCAGTAATCTTAAAATTTAGGAAAATATTCTCCGTCGTTTAATGATTTATTGACTTTTAGAAATGTTCGCTTTAAATTTACTTTAGTTATCACTTTTATTTTCTTTAATATTGTGTATTGTCGCCCATACTGACAAAAATTAACACGTTTATACACATACAAGAAAAAAAAATCAAAATTCTTTTTTAAAAAAACCCAGAAAAACTTAATACAAATCATCAAACACCAAGTTTGATGATTTGTATTAAGCTTTTCTGTTTGTGATTAATAAATATAGTTTTCACTTAATAATATAATCTAAAATGGTGAAATTAATACAGAATTTTAAAAGATTTAAAATTTTATCTAATTGAAATTTGAAAAAATGAAAACAAATCTTGTAAAAATTCATTATTCATCGAAAAATATTTTTTTCATAAAATCATAGTGTCCTTAATATATCTTATTTATAAAAGTGATTAAAAGTTTTTTCTAAATAAAAAATGTCATAGTTTTTTTTGTATTATTTATTTTACGATTCAGAGCAGATTGTCTGTAAATTGTGTTTTTGTTTAACAAAAACAATTTGATGATTTAAGTTCTCCATTTGTGAATGAGTTCTGAAAATCTCATTAAAATCCAACAATTATTTGATTTTTACAAGAATTCTCAAACAATGTGTTTTTAGCTCCAAAAAACAAAAACAAAAAAAACGCTAAAGTTTCTAATACTAATGTTTGATCCACCCGCTGACGAAAAAAAAAAGAAGATATTTAGCCAAAATTTCAAACGAGCTAAAGATGATTAAAAAATTAGTAAAAGTCATCAAAATATATTGGTCTTAATAGTAATACAAACATTTTAACGATAAATCTTCGTTTTTATCAAGTTTGGGGTCTCTTTTCATCATGGTATGCTCTTTTTTAGAAAAATATATGGAGGTATCTAGTTTTCCCGAAAGTTTTCGATTAAGATTCAGCGTTCTTATTTTGTTACGAGTTCTCTTCAATTTTAATTTTTCCCTTTATTACAAAATTCTAGATCGATGAACTCTTCAACCGCTAAAGGAAGCATAGTACCAAAACTCATAATCCGAAGTAAAAATATTCAAAAGAAATAACTGTACGGGTATTAACGAATAAGACAAAAAATGGCGTCAGGAATTGGAGAAGAAAGCGTTAGTGAAACGAGAGAAGGGCTACAAATGAAGACAAAAAAATATTAAATCAAGGAAAAAGAACGAAGAATAACGAAAAGATATTTAAAAATGATAAAGGTCAAGAGAGGAAAAAATATCAAGGAAGACGAAGAGAGACATTCGAGATTCGGGAGACATTCGAAGAAAAGGAGGAAATAGTGGGAAGTAGATAAGAAGGCAAGAAGAACAATGGCGACAAAGCATCAAGAAGGAAGGCGACGAGAAAACAAGAACAATGGCGACTATAAGACAAGGAGGAAGGCGAAAATAAGGCAAGAAAGATAAGGCAAGGAGAAAGGAAACAAGAAGGACAGTAACAATAAGCCGAAGGGAAAAGTAGGAAAGTAAGTGTGAAAAATGAGACAAGAAAAAGGCGAGTAGAAGGCAAGGCGACAAGAAGGAGAGTATTGAAGGTGACACGAAGAAGAGACAAAACGCAATAATAAGACAAGAAAAGATAAGAAAGAAAGAAGAAACAAGGCAAAGAGAAAGGCGACAAGAAGACAAGCAGGAAAGTGACAATAAGGCGAAGAGAAAAGTAAAAAAGAGGGTGGGAAAATAACAACGAGATGAAAGGAAGCAAGAAGAAAAGCGACAAGAAGGCGAGAAGAATGACAAGAAGTTAAAAATAAGTGCAGCAAGAAATCAAGAGGAAAGATGATAAACACATGAGAAAAGCAACATGAAGACGAGAAGGAAGGTGACACGAAAATAAGAAGAAAAACAAGACAAAAAGCCGGTAGGATGATGAGAAAATTTATGACAAGGATGTCATAAGAAAGGCGATTAAAATTCATTAAAAATGCTGGATGAAAGATGGAGAGGAAGAAGGCCGATATGAAACCAAGGAAAAGGCGACAGGAAAGCAAGAAGAAAAGCGATAAGAAGGCAAGAAGAAAGGCGACACTAAAGCGAGAAAAACGGAAACAAGAAAACGAAAAGTACGGCGGCAGGAACGCTCCAAGAAAGGCATCATGGCAGTAGAAATACGAAAATACATGACTATTTCGTGAAATCGTTTTGATGCCTTGGCACACATCGTCAGTGATGTTTTTAGCCGTGAATCATTAGGGGTTTCAAGCCTTTGTCATCTTTCCGCTAAATGACATGCCTTTATGCTGTGTATTTAATTGGAATTACCAGTGCACGGAACATCCAAACATTTGCCGGATTATGCGCTCAAAGACGACGACGATGAAAATGACAAGGAAGTTGGAATAATTACTCAGCCAAATGTCATCTTTTTCATTTCTACGACTTCCCTCCTGCAATTTCCTTTCACCTCTCTTTTCCTTCTTCTACCTTTAATATGTTTTATCTTTCTTCCTCTTTCTCCATTTTTTTTCTCTCATGATTTGCTTTTCTGTCTCCCTTCAATCTACATGTCCAACTTTCTCCTTCACCTTCTGCTCGCCTGCTGCGTTGCTGTGAATTCGCTTTGTTGGTTGTGTTGATATATTCTATTAAAATTTGCGAGCGACATCTGTCGACGATGTGGATGAGATTTACAGAAGATGTTCCTGAAAATAAACACAGTGGAAATGCGGTTAAATGCTTTGCCATCAGAGAAAGGGTGAAGGTGTGCATTTAATCAGTCTGTCATCCCAATTAAACTAATAGACAATTGGGCGGACAGATAAACTATCGCCCGTTTCGGCTTCACTTGAAGGCGACCCAGATGATACTATTGGGTAGAATTGAACTTATGCAAAACTTACATTACTAAACACACACACACACACGCATACACCCACCCTCACACACACACACACACACACACACACACACACACACACACACACATATATATATATATATATATATATATATATATATATATATAGTACAAGTAATAAATCCGTTGATATATAATCCCATTGGATACTAATACTATAAAATATTAAAACTGATCCACAAAATCTGAGTTGAATAAAGCTAACGGACTGACGTTAGTGGAAATAGTCTATACTCATGAGGTAATTTAAAATTTCTCTATTATGTAATTAATATATATATATATATATATATATATATATATATATATAATGTTTCACCGCTAGCACGACTTTGAATTTCATGCACAACGCAATCTTCAATTTATTTTGAATTTAAATTATTTCCGTGTCAGAATATTCACAAACGGATGTTTTTATTTTTTATTTTTTTACATACATATGTAAATCCCACTTATTTTAATTGTTAAACATAAATTTGAAAATTACAAAAACTGTAACACCAGCATAATATGTAACTACACCAACATTGCTATAAGCAAATATATTAAAACTCAAATGACGTAACAGTTATTTCATACCCAGCACCTTAAGATTATGTTGCGCATGAAACTCCGAGTCGGGCTAGCGAAAAGATATATTTATTAATATATGCTTAATAGCTCTGTTATATTACATCGAACTGTTTTATTAACACCAGCACTATATCTGCGATATATATATATATATATATATATATATATATATATATATATATATATATATATAAATCACGATAGGAAAACTGTTATTATGACGGGTTTCGTCCAATGTGGACATTCTCAAAGCAAAAAACGAAAGTCCACATTGGACGAAACGCGTCAGCAATAACTACAATTTTCCTATTGTCATTTATATTTATAAATATTGTCTTTTCTACAGGTTAACTCTGAGAAATTTTCATATATATATATATATACTGAAATGAACGCCTCGAAGCGACAGTCTGTTTCATGCTTAAACACAATCGTCAGGCGTATTTTATCATATGGTATGTCAAAATTCACTATTTCAATGAAAAAAATTGACACCATTTTATGTTTTATACTTAATTATGATACAAAACAAATAGATTTATAAATCTGACATCAAGACTTTATTTGAAATTTTCAATAATGACCCTTTCCCGACTGTCTTTCTTCAAATTTCAAATCTATCCTTAGTGTTACGAAATCTATTTGAAGCATTTCAGGATTTATTTCCTGCACTGTGAACTGAATGTGTTCTTTAAGCTCAGCTCAACGATTGATCTTTTGGGGATAAAGCTTAGTTTTTATGAAATTCAATTTAAAGAAAATCAGGGCGGGGTCAACAAAGATGCATTCATGTAAATTCTTTAGCAATAGGGTTCTGAAAATGAATGAAATAAAATTATTAAAAACATGAAATTAAATATTGTGTCCGCCAATAATAAATGCTGGTAGGATTTCCAGTTCCCACAGAATCATCTCAATGTAAAGGTTGAATGAATCCAGTGAGAAGAATAATCCTTGTCTTCCGCCTTTTTCTAATTTTGTCTACTCAACTTCATTATCGCTCCGTATTCAGGCGGTTTGCTCTCAGTATAAGTACTCGATTATTCCACTATATTTCCCAGATAAATCAAGTTTTCCTTGATGATAAAACTATTTACTCCTGTCTTAATAGTAAGTCCGTTAGGTCCGACAAAGTAAAACTAGCAGCTTCTCTCGAAAATGATCTCCAATCGGTTGTTAACTGGGCAAGAAATGGTTTTTAAATTTGAACACCTCCAAAATAAAAAAAAAACTTTAATCATCATAGATAATCATTTGCCATCCATCAACATGACTGATTATATTGAGTCAATTGCTGATGCTAAGAAGGTTGGTTCACTCTTGTTATGACAGACACTTTTTCTCATCGGAATTAACCTTTCACGTTTATAAATCTACCATACGTTGGTGCATTGAATATTGCTGCCATATCTGGTCTGATGCCCCGACTATACAACATGAGATTCTCGACAAAATCAAAAGAAGTGTCTGTAATGTTATCGGTCCTATCCTGGCATCTCGACTTACTTTCCAACTGTCGTGACATAGCTTCCTTCTTTGTTTTCTATAAATATTTTCATAGCTCCAAAGAGCTCTCCTCCTTGTTACCATGATCGCGTGGATCTAAGCAAACTACTAGATTGGCTACAAGGTCTTATCGTTTTACTTGTGAAATAGCTCGACGTAAGTTCTATTCTAATAGCTTCTTTATTTTGCACTTCACACCCTCTGTATACTTGTTTCCCGGCCACCTACGATCTTCAAAAAATTAAATGCAATGTTAATCGCCATCTTCTGTCTTCCTGAACATTGTTTTGTTTTTCCTTTTTTCCTCGCTATACTCTGTTCATTCTCTTCCACTTTTTGCGTTTTCGTGGCATTAATGACTTGCTTAGCATAAAATGATTAAAAATGTCCAAAGAGATTTTTGTGTCGTTTCTTTTGTTGTAATCTATGAAACATAGGTATACGTTCTTCTGCATTTGTATTGCTCGCTCTGATATCATTCTGATCAGAAATTTCTTATGCCAACGTCTTCAACGTAGCCATACCATTCTCTTCCTATTTCCGGTGTAATTCTGCTATGCACTTTATTCATCAGAATTCGGATGATAAGCTTAGTTATGTGGCTCATTAAGCTGATCGGCCAATGGAACTTGCATTCATTTGCAACTGGCTTCTTTGGCAGATCTACAAAGATATATCTACTAATGTGTACTGGTGGGTCGCTTTTATATATACGTTACGTTTAGGTAGTGGGTAGGGATGTATTTTTTTGTATACTTAAAGATTTTTTTTTTGATGTTTAGGTTAGAATACGTTTTATTTAAAATATTTTCACTTTTAATTTTTAAATATTTTGAAATATTTTCACTTTTAATCTTTAAGTATACAAATAGAAAAAATGCCGTAAGAATTTTTGCCGTTAACAGTAAATTTAAAAAAAAATCCAGACGACATGCATTTAACGGATGTCAGAATTCGTTGAAAAATACATCCCTACCCCCTACTTAAACGTAACCCTTTTTCAAACGTAACTAATAACTGATACAACAAAAGTTAATAAAATGAACACGCAACCAGCCCTTGTCTGGATGAATGGATTTCTCTGTATCCTTGGAAACTGTAAATTATGATTTTTACCGTGCCTTTAAAACCCAGTAAATTTAAAAATAAGTAGTAAAGAAAAAATAAATTCTGTGGATGTTAACTGAAGTGGGTTCTAGTAATATAAAAATATTAAAATCGTTCAACAAAAAAAGTGCTCGATGTATTTTATTTGTACAGAGGATTATGATGAATAATAAAAAAAAATCTTTTTACCTCATGTGGGGAATAAGCAATTTCGTTAGACGATGAAAGTTGTCATCTGTCTTTTCAACTCCGATACGGAATGGAATTCTCGCCCGGAGAGGAAGCAGGAAGTGAAAGTTAACTGTAAGGAAGGAATGGAGTCAACCTAAATTTTAACATGCCGACTATACCTTATACAGAGTTACACTTTTCGATGTATAAGTCAGGCAATGGTACCCGACAGGGGTCAGGGAAGGTGGTAAAAAAAAAAAAAAAAAAACACACACACACACACACACACATAATTTCGCTTTTTTTTTTCTCTACACATACATAATCATGGAGCAATTTCAATCATCTATGCTGGAACTCATTAAGTATCAGATGCAAAGACAACAAGAGTGTGAAGAACGTTTTCAGAAAGAACAACTTAAATTTCAGAAAGAACAAAAAGAAGAACAACTTAAACTTCAGAAAGAACAAAACGACAGTGAAGAACGTTTTCGGAAAGAACCACTGAAATTTCAGAAAGAACAAAAGGAAGAAAAGGAAAGGCTAATTGAAGAAAATGCAAAACGATTTCTGGAGCTACACGAAAAAACAAATAAAATACAAGAAGAAAATGAAAAGAAACAGTTAGCAATGACTGAACTTATACATAAAGCTATACTGTCTAAGCAGAAAGACTCGGATGAAAGTACTTTTTCTCAAGACACAATATGGTCGACGATCGAAAGTTTTACCTATAACCCAGAAGAGGAAAAGACTTTCGAAAGATATTATCATAGATATCAGGACTTTTATGAAGTCAATTGCCAAACATGGC